GACAACCCTAGATCATGATAACCCTATGCGTCGCCGCTCACGTCTGCTACTTATGGTAACTGCTAGGTCCATGCCTACGTGTGATGCTGTTTGTGGTCTCAACCATGCATGACAGTCTGATGCGATGCCCAAAGGTGGGTCTCCCTCAGCATAACAGAACGTGTTGTCGCTCTGCCATTGTGCGATCTTCAGTAGTGTGGATTGCGTGAGAAGAGGACAATGTTATAAACAGTGGAAAATATCTAATGAAATAATAATAGGTTTCCTTCCCAACTTGTAGGGAGCAATGGGCATAAGGTCCGACTAGTTAATATATACATATATATATATATATATATATATATATATATTAACAGCTGACCGTGACAGACAAGAGTCCAGTATGATTTAGAAGGCACCCGAAGTGCGCAAGACACTAAGAGTCAGACGTTGTCCTCGAATCCGAGCCACTGGCTTCGGTAGAAGTGCCTTCAGAAAAGAAGGTCAGACGTCAGACTGTGGGGTGGAAGAACAATGAACTAAGATCCAGAAAGTAAAATCACCGTGTTCCAGACTGATCCCATGAAAACGATACATCCATATCTTCCTTGGTTGGCGATAAGAATACAGATTTGTGTCAGCGCGTCCCAGCATCCAACAGATACATCATCCAGAGAGAGCCCTTCAACAGAGGCTTTATCCTGCGTATGCTGAAGAGGAAAACACAGTAGAGCTGTTCCATCCCTGTTGGGAATCGCAAACGGTGTACGTATCAAGAAATTCCAGGGAAGTTCGAACCCGCGACCTGTCAACCGTTTGGTCACGAGTGGTCGATCAACAATCTGATCAGCTCGTACCTATAGTGGGTGTAGCGCCACTCGTTACGTCAGTAACGAAATCCATGTCACGTGATTGCATGTTGACGGACTCTATCACTTTGTGGAGCGAGTTGGAGTTCGGTCAAATTGCAATACACCCTTTTGGTTCCTAGCTGTCACATCACCCGAATCGGTGGCATGAGGGCTGAACTGCCGCAGGACTTCCCAAGCCTAGACAAGATCAGTCGAGATGCAAAAGTGGGACTCGAACCACGGACCTTCTGGTCAGTAGTTTGGCAACTCAACCAGTGAGCAGTTTCGAGCTCAACCCTCATGTACCTTCTCACACAGCCATTGAAGGGGGAACCTAACTGAAATTGTTTTCTCAGGCGGAAGGTAACACGCCAAACAAAGAAGAGTCTGGGAATCGGTCCACCGAGGTACATTGTGCATGGAAGTTACGTAGATGAATAGTCGCTAGCCACATTCATTCGCCAGGTGCCAACCGACACAACTGTGGTCAAATTTGACATCTCCTGTGTACATCAACGAAACAACGGTAAGACTAAATTGGGGGGGGGGCATGCAATTTAGTGATGTGAAAAACAAATCATTCAAATGCGCGCGCTGTCTTTCACGACAGTTTTCGTCGAAAGCCGATCTTTTTTACCAAAACTGATGGCCTGGTTGAACTCGCCAACAAAAACGACCTCGACAGGAGGAAATTTTACTTTCAAAATTTCTTACCCAAGTCAAATTTCATCTGGCCACTGATCCTGGAACCGGCTTCAAACTTGCAGCTTGTTTCGTTGCAGTCTTTCATACTGAAAGTTGCCACCCATCGAGTGGTATCATCCGCTGAAATGCAAAGGTCGTTTTTTATGAGGATAGACTAATAAACATTTTATCAGACCTGATTGGATTGGTCGAGTAGTTGAACCTGAGAACAGTGATCAGGAATCTGCCCACGCGATCGTGGTGATCCTCAGAGGAACTAGTCTATATCTGGTCAATCCTAAGTGACATAGGATATGGTGTACCATCCGTCAACAACCAACGACCTCAGCGGCCTGCGGCAGTTCCATGACACTCTTGGCTGCAGACGTCCGGCACCCGTCATCTGAGCCAACATCCCAAAGCTAGCTTCACGGTGTGCAACACGTGTTGGTTTATGCTCCTAAGGGTCAACTTCGGCTTAGAAGGCTCCGCTGATCGTTGCTGATCTATTAAACAGATTCGATCGGGCACATACAGATGCTTCAGGATATCATCAGTCCGTGCTCAGTCAAAGGTGTAAGTGAGTTGGTGAGCGGCCGACGTGGAGTCGAATCGATTGTCGCGGTAGTCTCAAACCCGAATAGTTCATATATGTCAGACAGACCGCGCTACACAAAGCACAGGAGGCCTCTCGATGTACGGCTGTGAAGATAACTGGTACCTGGGTTACTCAGTTTACTCAACCAAACCTCAGAATTCGGTCCTGACATAGAATGGGCAGTGCATTCCCACCTCGCCTTTAATTTGCACCTCCGCGTCAAACCTTTGTCCATACGCTGTGCATATTAGGTGCTAACGAGTGACGTTCGCAGCGTTGCGAACGTCTGCCCCCCTTGGGCATCTCGACTGCGGCAACCGATCAGGTAGGATCTAGCTCACTACCGAAGATTTTTGCATCAACGCTTGCTACGCATAGTGACCAAGCCAGTTTAGCATTCAGCTGGGGCTGCTATTGATGTGAGGTTATCAAGAACTTTTCAACCAAAATTTCATTCCATAGGCCGGAAGGTTCGCAGTTCGAATCCGACCTCTGTCTCTCGACTTCTCCCTTCTAGGCTTGGGCAACCTGGCAGTGTCCCAGCCCTCGTGCCTTCATTGTGTGGCATGGCAGCTAGGCACCGAAAGGGTGCAGCAGCTGAACGATTTTATGAGGTTGATGGGAACTCAGGAAACTAGTGAGCTTCAGAAAGGGGGAAATGGCAGTACGATGTCGAACGGTTTTCAGCAACCTTGTGAGTAGTACGTTTTGACTGCGGAAAAGTGCGTTCGCCTCTATTTCATCAGCTAAATACTACAAGCATCCAGATTTTGAAAATTTAAACGAAAAAATAATTAACCCGATTCATGCACTGGCGATATCACCTCGTCTGTTGACAGAACGTTCGCGAGCTGATTGCTAAGCTCATACAACCTATCAGTAATCTGATCAGCAACCAATAATAACGGCGACGTTCGGAATTTCGAGGGAATTGTCTGCCAGATTCGTCGTATCGTTTTTGTTGTGAGACGCACTGCGTATGAGCAGCGTAACTTCAACGTCTTCAGGTGTTCTCTAAACGTTAGTGAAAGTGGTGTACTATTCAGAATATTGGACTTAACAGATAACAGCTCAAGGTTTTGGACATCCTCATTGCTTTTTAAAACGACAGACCTACCGCCTAGTTTAAATCCCGTGCGCTTTGTAGGTTCTCGCTCACTCAGTTGGTGTAGAAGATGTTCATCACAAGGTGTAAGACGATGTAAACCAGAAAATCTCGACGGACCTGACGAAAAATTGATCCACGTTAATCGTACGCCTGATTACACCGGAAAATCATACGAAAAATTGCAAAGAAACTTCGGTCTATTCGGGATCAGTGCATACATCTATCGCAGCTAAATTTTATCTCATGGCTTCTATCGCGACGCCTCAGATTCTGACTTTTTACAGCCTTCTAACTAAAGTCCTGATTGGGGGTGTCAAACCACCTGTAGGAGGGTAGGTTGGTTAGTCGCAACAGTCAGAGTGTCGGTCGTGAATCATATCGATCAGTGGAACATGACCTGTAGTTTATCTAGAATGTACACCAACGAGAGTTTTCTCCAGGCGGTCCTCAAACCTCAGAGGCGACCAACGCCGAATCACCTTTTGTTTATTCCACCTTGGGAAAAATTGGTATTTCATTGGGACTGGCGTATTTGTAACAGGTTTAGTGGGGCTGACTGCCCTCTACATGCATCAATCACGTAGGCACGCAATGATAACGTTTTCTCCATTGGCGACGAAACGATTTCGAGTGATTTCATCACTCATGCTGACAAGTCAAGAAGCACAGTGCAGCTGAGCAGCACAGTGCGCCTCTCCGAACCCGTAACCTTCCGGCCAGTGGTTGAACACAACCGTTTAACCACGAGTGCCTGATCAGCAGTGTGAGTTGTTCTCACTTAGACAGGACATAGCGCCATTCATCCTCCAATCGCGGCCCAATCAGTTCACAAGACAGATGCTGTCGAAAAAGTGCAACTTCACTATAATATAAGTATATTCGTCCTCATGGACGGCGTATTACAGCCGTCTTGTGGAGAACAAGAATCCTATTTCTATGTAGTTGCACGCGAACCGCGTTGACTTGGTCCGGGCTGACCAGTTCTATGGATGGCACATACATCCAGCAAAAGCTGGAGTATCTAGGTGATGTACGCCTGTCGTTGTGCACTCGACGCAAAGGACGCTCAGGTGATTCCACCAATGACGTCTTAAAACGCCGTTCAGCTGTAACACCCTTTCGGTGCCTAGCTCCCACACCACATGAAGGAAGCACAAGGGTTGGGCTGCTGCCAGATTGCCCAAGCCTAGACAGGGGAAGTCGAGGAGCAGAGGCCGGGTTCGAACCGCGGACCTTGCGGTCAGTAAAGTCCCGCTCTAACCACTTGATCCGTCTCGCCCAAATGGCACCTTACTCTGATATGACGCTGCAATGTGTGCATTGTAATGCTTGGTCGTTTTCCCAAAGGATATAGGGCGTCTTCGCACAAATCCCCTACCCTTCCCTATTCTTTCACTCTTCACTAGGACCTTCTTCCGTACTTCTAAATGGCATGTAATCACCGATATATATTACTGATGGATTACTGTCAATAGTGATGATGATTACGATCGCCCCAATGCCAAAAACACTAGTTTAGTGTTTATATGAGGAACACGCCGATAATCGCTACTAACTATAGTTTAGTATTAAAAATCTAAGACACAGGAAGTCAACCAGATAAAGAGTATGTAGCGCTAACTAGCTTTTCAAAATAGTGCTAAACACAAGAAACGAACAGCGACTTTCATTGTCACTGGTATTGCGAGAATTCACGTGCAAAACACGCTATCGTTCTAGGCTTGCGATAACCAGCAATGAATGTTTGAACCTTGGTGAGACCAAATTTACGGGCAAAAAGCTCGCCCATTGTCGTCAAAGTAGTGATAATATGCGGCTGAATCTGAAGGGCTCACAACCATCTTCATAGGGCTTTCAGAGTTCAAGGACCAACTGGATGCCGGCCAACCAGATCACCAGTGGAGAATCCACCAATAGAATTACTCACAGAGGCAACCAATAGCAACCCAAGGTCACCCCTTCTGGGAACCCGTCTACAAACGAGCGCATACCTCTATACAACAAATACCCACCAATGCAAACTTTGCCCAATTTGGTGACGACAAGTTTGCGACAAACCACTTGTTCACCGAAATATCATTGCCATATGAAAAAATCAATGTGAAGTCATACTATTTATTAGCCCACTTATTGGTGGCACTTTTAACAGACCGAGCTACGCTTAGTTTAGGATTGTTTTACACCAAGGATATTAAATGTCCTCCGTTCTTTTAAAGGAGAAATTTGTCCGAGAGAGAGAACGTCGTGAGAGAATGTGAATCACCAAAAAATTTACCTTCAGTGCGAAAAAAATTGAAGATCGACAAAACCATTTGACGATTTTGCAATGATAATGCGAGCACTTTTAGGAAAATGACTGGGCATATTCTCAGTGAATTAAAGAAAACTGGCTACATAAGAACGTCGATAAAAATATCTGATCCCAAGAAAACCCGGGTTTGCTTGACTGCGTGTAGCCCTGGGTGGTTCTGTCTCACAATCAAGCTCTCTCGATTATACCGATTACGCCCAGATCAAAGTCCATAACTGAGTCAGCCACAGAGGATAGACAAATTTGAGGTAAGGCTAAAATCGACTCACGGCAGTTAGACCAGCACAGGACCGAAGCAAGCAGCGAGGAGGTTAGAAGGACAAATAGCGTTGTCTGGTGTACAAGATTCATTTTGCTTGCCACCAGAACAAACGAAGCTGTTGTTTGGCGCGTGTTTTATACCTCTTGTCCCTTCAAGGAATTGTGAAATTAGGCGCCAAAGCTAAGCACAATCAATCCCAGTGTATGAGAAGGCGAAACATTGCCAAAAGTTCGTTCAACGTTGGTGTTTGTCGAACAGCAAGACGAAAACAAATAAACACTAGACGCGGTAATCAGAAAATAAGGCGTAAGTTCTTGTTGTTTTGTCCCAATCGATCAGTCCTCAAGAAGCTCACCAAGAAGGTAGCGCCACAACTTTACTCAAGGTTTACTGTTCATGAATTAGCGATCCTATGAACAATCAGGTGTGTTCTCACCTTGTATAATTGCGTCAGCACAACTCAGTCAGTAGGTCCAAGCACCAAACTGTGTTGCTGTATAAACAAGTTGGAACTTAACGGACCACGCAACCAAATCTCCCATTCATGTTCTTTTCTAACTGAATGTGCTTCACAAGGTCGCCCAAATTGTTGCATATTTTATCGAACGAATATATTACTAACGAGCTTGCTGAGAACTTCAACACCTCATGATTTGTTTCACTCTTCTTGGAGATCATCAGTTAGGCGCAGTCATAAACGGGAGATTCAGTTGAGTTTCCTGTTGCAGATGAGTACATTTTACCGGTTGCGAACGATTTGGCAGAAACCCGACTAGCCCCGAAGAGGGCGAAACCAGTGGTGGGTTGTCAGGGAGTTTTCAGCAACCTTATGAGTAGTGTGTTACACCAAGGAAATCAACTATATCTACCTTAGCATAGACAATAAGGCGAGTGAAACCTTGTGTCCGATAGTCACTTGAAACAGTGATATGAACAATGTCTGATGCACAGAACACTAGTGAGTTCCGGTCAGTCATTTGACGCAACGAGCTCCGAACAGCTGTTGGGGTCCGACTTGAATTGTTCTTGTTCTGTTAGTGTTCGTACACCGTTGATTGATGATGTTTTGCTCCTACCTATAATCCGTGAAATCATAGGTTTCATTTGATGCCCCCGAAGCTGAGATTATTGATTAGCATTCTGACAATTCGAGTTCGACCTGTTCAAATCGATTAGCATCCCATGATCGGAAAGTGCACGAGATCAATATAATTACCGTAGGAACATCCAATGCGATGTAGGTACAATTTGTTGGCTTCGCGAAATCTTGTTTAAGAAGGTGTTTTCCCCATAACAGCCTGCCTCGGGTTCAGAAAAAAATTGTGTCCACAAGCAACAGACAGCACACCAAAGGCACCTGCTCGTTGTACATCGTTGGCCGTCTAAGAAACCAACATAGTTAGCGTTCAGTAAACAAGTTTTTCCCACCAATCAGTTGGGATATGTCGAGATGGCCCAAGTGGTCAGAACGCAAATTTACTGACCGGAAGGTCTGTGGTTCGCACCCGATCTCTGCCTCTCGACTTCTCCTGTCTGGGCTTAGGCAACCTGGCAGTCTCCCAGCCCTCGTGCAACCTTCGGGTAGCATGGCAAATATGCCGAGTGACCTGTGACGAACATCTCCTGTTTCAAACCACGCCTATCGTGTTCGGCCACTTGTCCAATGTAGACCGACGGAGTGAGGTATTACTCAACGTCACCAAATTAGACTCGTACGCAGATCCCCTTGACTGTCATCAAGTCGTCTCAGATACAGAAGAAAAACAGCTTGGATTCACTTCAAAAAACATTAAAAACCGGTGTGTTAAGCACGAACTGCTGAGAACTGATTGCAAAGGGGTGACGACGGGGCGAGGACGCCTAAATAAATCGACAGAGGAGACAAGGTAGACTTGCCAGCAATCAACAGCCCAATGCTATGCACAAATCAATAAACGGAAAGAAGGCTGACACCCGGAAAATACCTGGTGCTGAACGCCAAAAGTAAGACCGCTCCTGGTCACCCATTAGCCCAGACCAGATGAACTGTAACCAATGGTATTCAAGTAGGTCACATCTACCTTGAAACAATCAATGACTTCGGAGCGATTCGATACAGCTGAGGAAAATTGCTGGGAAGTGAGGAACGAGTTCGGTAGGACCGTTCCCAAAAGGTGACAGTCACGTCACATTTGTCAAACGTCGGTAGCTTTTGAAACTTCAGAAAGAATAACTAAGCATTTTTGGACCCCACCCTTATTCCTGCGGCACACTGGATCAGGATAAGCATGGATATGTTAGCGGACAATATTGCAAAACAAACTTGTTGGTAGGACAGCAATCACGGTGTGGTTAGAGGGAACACGAGTAGACCAGCCATGCTGTATTTATAGACTTCATCAAAGTGTACCGCATGTTATACCACTTCAAGAGCTTCGAAAACCAGCACCTTATGACTGTGGGGTGAGAATCAAAGACGCCAACGACCAAGCAAAACGGGTTACAGGTGGGGTCCCTCAAAGGGATGATCTTGACCCATTGGTGCTCACAACTTTCCCGGTTCCCTGCCACGCCATGATTGCTGTTTTCTGACGTTCCAAGTCACGGAGGGTGCTGGAAAACCCATACGGCGTACAGGCGCCTAGATAGGGTGACCTTCTGATGCACAGAAATACGCCAAAAAACAATGGCTATGCTGACTTGTCCAGAGTCTACGCACACACAAAGAATGACGAGTAGAAGCTCGAATTACAGAGAATAGACGGATGGAATAGCTAACATAGATCGACTTTCAGTGGACTGAAACAGACTCTCAGAGCGTGTGGTTCGGTTCGACACCGTAAAAAAAATACACAACTAACAATAATAAAAAAGATAGTAAAATCAGTGTTAGCACTGATGCTTCACTGCCGTACAATAATGAGGTTCGTCTAGTTATATATGTAATATTATATTAAAATCCCTACAGTGGAAAGAAGAGAAAAAAGAGTGGGTTGGGCAGGGGACCTAGTGCTGGCCTATGTCAAGCATTCTGAAGTGCCTACACCTCCAACCGCTCAATCAGACAATCTGGAAAGAAACTGACAGCACGAACGCCACTGACATCGATTAGCCGCCATCTCTTTCAAAGTCTCCAGCCACGCACAGACGGGGTCACAGAGACCCCATCTTGGAAGGCGTACAACACCAACAACACTCACACTCTTCGTGATCTCTTTCATGGCTTTCTGCCAAGTCACGTGCTGTTCGACACTATTCGAAGACTCGGGCAGTCACAGCCATGAATAGGGGAGTTCAGAAGCCAAAATCTCAGAATATGTGACCTGAAGAGACGATTACTGGACAAAGACCGCTGTTCTCCATTGAAGAGTCACAAACACGAGGATTCCCATACCCGCTTACGTATAAAATAATCGCCAATAAGTGGTACATTTATCTGCACAAATTTATCTACAAGAAAACAAAGTACATGTCTGATATTGGTTCAATCTTCATTTCTATAAGCAAGAAATGGAAACCGATTTTGTATCTTGCGCGCCTCCTCGATCGACTCACGCTCCTTCGGGAAGGGATCGACCTAAAAAGTGAGTGGGCAACAAAGTGAATTTTTCTATCGAAGAAAACAGACTACTTATAACGGGTCAGTAGCCTGTTCTATTCTCGCAAAACCTCTGGTCCAGCAGAGTCGTACGCAGAGATGGAGACACCTCGATTGGACATCGCTGCTACCAAGCAGCCTTTGTGTAAGTACCTATTGTTTCGCATGTGTTTTGCTCCACTTAGTGAAGATAAGTGGATTAGTGAAGGACAGAAACATGTTGGTCGTCAGCCACGTAGGTCAGTCCCTGTTACTACATAATGAATAAAATCTAGGTATCCAAATATAACAAGGAAAACGGTGAAAACTGTTTGAAACTTGATTTAAAAAAACCCCGGGGAGATGATGAGGAAAATCAGAGGTCCTCCTAACTGCATGTATTCGGTTTTCCGGAGTTCGGTAGACGAAAATCCACAAACCCGCCTGACCTACGCCCACTTGCCATTCCAAAGTGCAAGCCTGGAAGCAATGAACCTATTGATTTAAGATGCAATCGAGTTGGAAAGGCTGATGCTTGTACGCTTGTGTGAAATCCAGTACAATATCCGGTTCTGCATAGCCATTTCCTCTCCGAAAACCGGATACAGTCATGGGATATTGTCCTTTGAGGGCGTTCCCCGTCCTTGGACGCAAGACTGGTTTCTCTCAAAATGGTAACATCACGTGATAGAGCTAGCTGAGTAGACTAAAATAATTGTGTCTGATGATTCACTGGACTGGGGATTTGAATCATGTGAGCGTGAAATCATTCCGTTCCAACCAACTCCTGCTTCGCCGGCTGCGGAACTGTTTCAAGAGACAGCAGTCGTTCTAGAATAAGCACAAGGAGAACATTTTAGACTCTGTCATTCCGGTTTTTCTCACTTTTGTATCCAACAGAGTGCCAGGAGTTACCTGAAAATGATTTCACTTTCATTTCTTCACCAAACCAGGGGACATTATCCACGCGGGATAATCATTCGTGTGCGCACTCTTCGCTTCCTAAGCGCGCTAAACAGTTCAGCAGTCTCGTACTCAACAACCATTGATCCAAATTAGCTACACAGTTGGGTGTGGGGTTTTGTAAGGCCGATTAACCAGTACTTTATGAATTTGTTAAAGTAGGATCGAAATAGTCTGTCACTATTGTTCACCTGTAACACCCTTCCGGTGCCTAGCTACCATGTCACCCGCAAGAAGCACGATGGCCGCCACGTTACCCAAGCAGGGGAAGTTGAGAGGCAGAGTTCGGGTTCGAACCACGGACTTTCTGGTCAGTAAATTCGCGCTCTAACCGCTTGAGCCATCTCGCCACCCCCCTCTCACTATCTAGTGTTGACGAAACTAAAGTACAAACAGGAAGAACATGTTTGCAAAGTATTCCCCCAAAATTTCCGGTAACTCAACACTTACCCCAGTCCGCTTAAAGTACGATAGGCGAATCGAATGAATGTTGGTCTCTGACGCAAATGGTAGATTTGCCATGGTGAAGGCGACGCATGGTATTCCCATGTACAACATCATACGAAGAGTCTCCCGACGCCAGCGCATTGCAATGCTAGAGGGAGGAATGGAAATGTTTGCAGACAAGGATACGGAAAACTTGATTAAGAAAAAAAAGTGTCAAAGAACGTGACAAAGATGTCGCTTTCCTAGCCGGTGATGACCAACTCGGAGGAGTGGAACAAAGTCTCTTGTTGGAAGTATCATTCGTCAGGACAACAAATAGAATAATCGGACAAAAAGGGACGGCTGGACAATTTCTTCTTTCGCCAGAGACGGATTCTTCCGCAGTCGGCTGAATTAACTTCGAGTGCATACAATCAATCAGATGGTGTTAGGCTTATGATCACAAAGCCTATGAACCAAAAATGACGGTTGGAGCGTACCACGATCACTGCTCAGCTGGTATTCGATTTTTTGTGTGAACGATCGGTCACTTTCAAATCAAACTCATAAATGTACTGCGAAACAGCGGCATGGTGTGCAAAGATTCCCGAAGGGGCACAGATGACTGTGAAAGAAATTCATCAATCACTTGAGAGGGGAACATTAAGTTGAGGGAAGGGTAAAGAACTGTAAGGAAGGCGCCTGTCCATGGAAGCCATCCGGTCGACCGGGTAGATTGTAGCGACCCAGTCACCCACATACTTGACTGTTCAACTCACAGTCGCTCACTGGATCGCGAGGCTTATTTTTTTTCTCATACTCACAAGCACGTCGCATTAGCTGCCTCA